AACATCGGTTTAATTAAAGACCTTTTGAACTTCAACTATGTATTTTACTCTACTTTTACTACCAAAAAATTTGTGGCTCATTAAGCGCTTCAAATCAACATATGATATTAGTAGGTGATTAAATAATTCACCATTAACATCTTGTTTTTCTATACTGTGAAGACACTAGTGTCCTTAAATTTTCAAAGATACCAAGGACAATGAGACATTATGGACAAATTTGGAATTACAATTGTTAGTTTTGTTTGATATATAAGATGATTATCAACATATCAGCGAATCTTATATTTTTACTCAGGGATTTCTTGCGGACTTTTATTCCTCAAAAATTTGTCAAGGGATTCGTGAACATCTCGACGGCCTTCCGTAATACCGACATAGTACGTTCAATAATAATTTAAGTAACAATGAGACTTAGAAAATAAAATAACTTTGCAATTTTCAAAATTTAAAAACTCTTAATGAAAATAGGTCCTAGGCCATGTTATTAAGCAAGCTGTACTCCACGTGACAAATTTATTTGTTTATTTATTAATTTATTAAAGTGGTTTTCGAGAAAATCTTGATTTTGAAATTGCCTAAACTTCACTCAAAATTACATGAAATAATTTGCTTGAAAAAACGGTACACAACATTATTTACAGATTTAATTTTGAGGAATAGATTCCTTTCGGAAAAAAATCTTCAAAAATGAAGTTGGTGGTGTTAACTAAAAAATGTGAACTTTTGCAATTTTTGAACATTGAGAGCCAACAGAGAAAATCGGACCAGTGTCACTTTTATACTCATACATTGCTCACAAAGAGCAAGAAATGTTATTAAAACATTTGGAGTCTTTTTAAATTGAAAATGTCCTTAGGATTTCATGTACAAATCCCACAAAAATTACAATATTCATTTCAAATTTGAAGGGACGCAATGCCGACCAGATCAATAAGGGAATATCAATTTTGGTGAAAATCCTTTAGCGCAAACGATCAGACTGCGCATTGTGCACAAACGATCAGACTGACGGATTGCAGAAAACCACTTTCTCTCTCCCAAAACTATGTACTTCCGGTACAGAGAAAGTAGCGTAATGCTGCACCAATAGCAGATTTTTTCACAAGAAAACTGGTATTGCGGGACCCTGGTATCAAAAAAGTGGATAAACCTTGTTCTTCTATGTAGTAAATGAATTCCTGAATACACATACTGGAGCTAGAATCCACGTTTTGTGGGTCCTTGATACCGAAAAATTGGTTGACGTAAAAATACCTACGGTCAAGGACAGCCCCTAAATCTTTGAGAGAAATGCAAAACTTCAATGTTGATGACAGAATATTTTTCCCTTAAAGATTTGTGCTAAAAAATAGATTTTGAAATTAGGTCGTGTACATTTTTTTTAAATTATGGGTAGAGTTTGCATTTTTTTGCTTGATATAAAGACAATTTATGAAAAGGTTTGTTTTTTTAGATATGAATGGCTGTAAATATTTTTACTTAAATTTCATTATCGAGTGGCGAGCAAAGTGCATTTATAAAAATGATGCATGTCCCATTTCTGTTGAACTCTGTATTTTCGAAAAAAAATGCAAAAAATAATATTGCAGAACTGCAATATTGATGATAGAGATATTTTTTCTTAAATCTGTTCTTAAAAACCTGATCTTGAAATAACTTAATTTAAAATCTCTGAATTTTTAAAAATTTTAAATGCAAATGTGAACTTTGTTTTTAAAACATCAGGAAGGTTGAGTTTAGCTGAGAGGCTAGTACTCGTAGTGTAGGGGTAAAGTGCAGTAGCGTAACGAAATGAGCGCGGGCTCCCCGGCAAACCTTTTATCCGGGCCCTCGGCCCGCATTGCGGGCCCGAACGTTACGCCACTAGTAAGTGGAATGGCCTGCTCCCTCTAAGAACCTGACATTGAATCCCAGTCCGGAGACAAAACAGTTGTTGGTTGGAAACACATTTGCAGGTTCATGTAGTATTAAAAAAAATGTGTTTCAGCTACAAATAATGTGAGAAAGTATGTTCTGTTGTAACACCACTAGTTCTAGTGGTTTCAAAGACCCACAGAGTGTAGGTTGTGACAACGCAATGTATTACAGTGATTTACTAAACAAAGGAGCAAGAATTATCCTTTTTCTCATACCAGGAACCCACAAAACAAGTTTTTTTTTCCTGTCGAAGGAAGATGTTTGTGGACGCAGCATAACAATACTTTCTCTACGTAAGTCGAGTACTACAAAAGTACACAGTTCAGTCACATTAATGTAACCACGGCCAAAGTTAGAAGTAAATGTGCAATAACCGTATAGAGACGGTAGGTGGCAGCACAAACAGGTGAGGGTATATAAAGCGTGTGGGATGGAAGCGGAAAACAGTGCGGTTGTTGTTGCAATGCAGAAACGGAGCAATTTATTGGAAATCCAAAAGGGCATGGCATCTACCGGCAGGATAATGCAACGTGTCATACAGCTCGCAATGGACATGCGTGTTTCTAAGAGCACTAGGATGAATTAATAGTACTCCCTTGTCCACCAAACTTCTCCTATTTAAACCCAGCGGCGGATCCAGATACGAATGGCGGGGGGTTTGTGTGTATAGAAACAAAGATAATATAAATTATAAACAAAATAAATTATTTATTATAAAATGATCTTAACAAAATTAAAATATTAAATTTAATATTTAATGAATACTTTGTAAATTAAAAATAGTAATAATTTGTTATTAAAATCGTTGAATTCAGAGCTGTAAAACGACGAATTAGGGTATTATATTTTTCATTCTATGATATGAAGAGATAGAATTTAAATAAAAACACGATATCGATTTACAAATTAAACATTCACTTACATACAAACATTACTGTCCAGGACTGAAGAAAGTTGACAGGATTTCACAAAATATGTCTCAAGCCTCTTTTACTTTTTTCTTTTAATTAGATATCTTTTCTTCTTATTCTTTTTAGATATTTTCTTTCTCTTCTTAAGTACTTATTAACCGCACCGTCTCCAAGCCCATGTAAGCGATCCCTATTCTTTGGTTTCGGGCACACGGTAATTGCGCGAAATGTCACAGCGGCCTACGATCACTCGCTTGGCACCCGTTTCCGTCGGCCACCTACCAATACGTGGAACCGCATGTCAAGCGGAGTAAGAGAGATGAGCTGTGACACGCCTCTGGAGAACAGTCGAAGTAATTTTCCATACAAACCACATAGTGAGATTCATTTAGGATTTCCATTCGTAACTAAAAGCCTAAGGACATAACGTGAAGTTATTTTTCCGATACATTCTAGACGTTTTTACAAGTTTTTCTCGTGTTACTCATTTTTGTTTCTCCTGCGCTTAAACCATTTTAATTTTTTCTCTGGACGTCTTTTTGGGGAGGGGGGCATGACCTCTATCCGACACTGCGATTACATCAGTAATATATTCAACAACTTGAATTACGCATCTGAATTTGTTTTGATAAAAAAATTACGTCATTTTTCTATAATTTTAAAAATATTTTAAGAGTATTTTATTCATAGCTTTTGGCGATGTTTTAAGTTATCAAAACCCGCCGCTTAATTATTAAATTTCCCCATCCTACGGATCCTATATAGATGCCCGACTGGGTCGAGTATGATCGGTACATTCTGGGTTTTTTATTCAAAAGGTTTTAGACGAGTGTGTCATATTACAGATTACGTAGAATGACGCAGGCTAAACTCATGCCATGCTGCGATACGATTTGATTCGTTTTAATGATTATTCAAAAATATTTGTATGAAGTAGAGAGAAAGTTATGTAATTCTGCGCGAAAAACCGGCGAATTTTCGGCAGAAAAATTCTTATTACAGGGCCTTCGAAACAAAAAGTGGATAAATCCAGTTGCTATATCTAGAAAAAGTCCTCTAACACGTGGTGTAGCAAGAATGTTTTGTGGATACTTGAAATCGAAAAATCGAATGACGGTAAAACGTCTGTAAACGTTACCGGCCAAACCGATCAGCCGCTTTTCTCCAAAATTGGTATTCCCGAATCGATCTGGCTGATGGCCCCTGGGATTTGAAACCGATATTTCAATTTTGGGGTGTACTTTACATGAATGCCCTGTGACAAAAAAGGCTCCATCGGTTTCGATTAATTTTTTTGTTAGATAGTGTGAAGAACTTTTAAAAGAATTGCACAGAACTCATGTTCGTCGGAAAACATGATTTTTAGAAAATTGGAAAAGTTGAGGGGGGGATATCACCGCAAAGGGGAGGGGGATATCACGATTTTAATGGTTGGTAAGAACAATATAACTGGACTGTGTGGTACAATAGAACCCCGGTAATCCGAACAAGTTAGAGTTCTGGTCTGTTCGGATGATCTGGTACCATACATACACAAATACATCTATAGGGTTACCAGACAATGCAATGTAGCGTGCGATGTGTCAAAATGGTAACGTGGCGTAGCGATCGCAACGTCAAGCAGATTCAGTTCCTTATGACAAAATATTACTAATTTTGCAAGTTCCTCCATGTGACAATTACTGCTACATAAACAAATGATATACACCAATGCAATAAACATTTCATTTCGACTTGTGTTTCAATAATTTGTGTTTAGTTCTATAGCAATTACCAAGTCTTTTCTTACAAATGTGCATTTTTTATTTTTCCCCCATTCTGACATTGGTTCAGATTATCCGAAATTTCTGATTTGCAAGTTTCTACTGTAGTATATGAGAAAGTAAAAATGTGTATGTTCCAGTTCTTATTAAATTTTTATAAGAGGTTCCAAGAACCACAGTGGTCTCTCGTGTCTACAAACTCTCAAAGGTGCACAAGTGGTCTAAATGATGCTTATCAGCATTGCAAAAACCCCTCGCTTGCCTTTATGACAGATAGCATTTAGGCCACTATGGCTCAGGCAGCTTTATTTCCACAATTTGCAACAAAAATCATTTGGAGGGAAGACACCTTGTTTTCACAAAATAAGGAAATGAAAGAAGACGAAGAACAAATAACCAACATCAATGTAGATATAAATAAAACAAAATTTGTATTTGTAAACAGACTTATACAAATGGTAACAAGTATTTAACATTAAAATAAAAAATTTCAGAAATGTTCATGATACAATCCATACATCATATTCCATCAGGTCACAACTCTCCTTGAAGGAAGAACAGTAAAAAACCATTATAACAAGGCACAACAATATCATTCATAGAGTACTATTCAAGTCACATAAATGTGAACATCTGTTTACAAAATCACAATTATTTTCCAAGTATCTGGAACATGTAAACCAACATCAATTGTATTCTCTTGGAGCCACACCACTTTTCCTTTCCCATAGAATTATACTTGTGTAGAGACAGTCATTTTGCTTCGACATTAAAGTGGCACATATGTGATTGCAGATAAGAATGTTTTTGTGATAACATCCAGATAAGAGCACTAGAAATGCAATTCTTTTGCCGCACACACAGAGAAACACTGCTTCATACTCTCGGCAAACATATCCTTGAGTCTTTTTGAAGAGAGTCATTGTGTGCAAACTTTGTTTAAAAAGTTACAGAAAAAATAATCAAAGTTACAAAAATTATATCAGACCTTAACAACTTCACTGTTTCATGTGTGTCCCAAATCCAGGACAATGATATAGATTATGTTGAAATGTTGGATAATGAACTACCAAGATTTCATGAACATTTAGACATAGACATCTTCTATAAGAAACTAAGTAGTCAGAATTCAAAGCCATTAAAGATGAAGTCATAAGTTTAATATAAGAAAATACAAACTTTTTACTGCCCTTGTGTGCCTCTTTAATTGAGGTTTTCATTTAACTTAATCAGTAGAAATTTCTTGTCTTTTAAAACATTTGGTCCAAAGAAAATTAGACACTTTGTTCATGCTGATATTTCAGGGTTACATTTCACTTTCATCAGGGCTAAAAATATTAACAATAGAATGAGTTCCAATCTGAAGATATATGACACTATTTCTTATTACACCTAAATGTGAATTAAAACAAACCCAAAGAACAATCCCATTCACAGTCAACACAAAATTAATTAAAAATCAACCAATGAGAACTCATAAGCATTGACAATGCAATGACAACGTAATACATCCTACTCAGCCTGCATGCCACTCCTATGCACAATACCCATTATTCTATTTTCCACCTCGGTATACACTAGTATGTCACATTATACACAAAATTCTATGTACTTGTGTTTGTTTTGGTTCACATTTATTTACTTATCATAGTAAATTTGTTAATTAATTTGTCATTAGCCAAATGTAGCACTGTACACCTTTAGATGGGACTCATATTATTAATACTTTTAACCGTGATGAAGATGAAATATAAAAAGAAAAATATTGGCATGAACAAATAGTCTTTTATTCTTGTATAAATAACTTACAGTCAAGAAATTGCTATAAGTCATAATGAGGCAACAAAACAGAATTCATTTAACTGAATGAATCACAGGGATAAAACAGATTATTATTGATTTGTAAGACGTTTCAATTTCTTTTATCTTCATTCTTAATACTGTGACTTAGAAAAATTACCATGGAAAATTCAACAAAAAAACAATATCCACAAATTACTACTAAATCACAACAATTTAGTACATGCCCCTTATACGGAGTTAACACCATTAAAATCATGCATAATGAGCCTGTTATGTAATATGTGCTATTTAAAGATGTGCTATTTAAAGATTGCCCAAGGGCACAAGAATGAAAGATTTCCAACTAAAACAGTTCACTTGTTTTATGGAAATTAATACACAACATTAAAGAAACCGTTTAATCCTAGGAATGAAGATGAAACACTACATGAAACAGTACAACAATTATTTTTCTGGCAAATTCTAGATTTTATTAGCTCCACTCACTATTTGAATAACTTAAGGCTTATGCTTCTATGCCATTTACTTATTTGTACATTTGCAATGGTAAATTCCTAAAAATATTAATATATATTAAATAATCTATTGGATTGTGTAAAATGATTTAGTACTATTTATTTTTTTATTTTTCCAATTCTTACTCAACATATAAATAAAAAGAAGCAATTTATAAAGACAAAATTAAAGAATTTGATCTTGCGCAAAAAATTGTTTTCATTTCTAATCTCTTAAAAACACAAATTTCCATTTGCTAAAAAAAATAATCATAATATATATTAATGTACACATATGTACAATGACTAGCAAGATGATAATGATTTCAAAAAAATCATACAATGTAGACTGCCTTAATGAATAAACAAATCTAAAAGAATTGGTATTTAATTTGCAAGAAAATACTGATAAAAACAATTCAAGCAAGACTAACAATAGAACACAATTGTAATATGACCTATACATCAAAAAATATTATTCCAATTCTGAAGAGCATTCGACATTCCAATTCTTCAAACCAAAAATATAACCGCCCATACTCACACAAAATATGAAGATTCCAGAGGATAATTAAACTTTCAATGCGAGTGAAAGCAATTGAAGAATATTTAGAAGTAGTAGCTAAATTACCTATGTAGGACAAAACTAATGTTCACATCGGTAACAAGTGCCGTATAAAACATCTAAACCATAATTTTAAAATGCCATCACCAACAGAAAATTAATAACAAATTCACATGAATCTGTGCAAAAATTACCCAAATTGTCTAGGTAATTCCTCACTATATTGCTGCTGCTGCTGTTGTTGCATCAAATTCCAATAGAAGCCTCTTTTAGTCATTAAAGTCATGTGTGAACCAACCTGAGAAAACAAAATGTTTAAATGTAAACAATACCCCATAAATAAATTTCAACATGCAATCCACAAACCTTAAAAAGATTACTATTAGTTATCTTTGATAAAAGAAATGATTTTAGCAAATACCTATTTGAAGTTAAAAACAATTTTTTCAATAATGTTATCATTAATTACAATATGCTCAGTGTCTGAATGAACATTACATTACATTTCCCATATGAACAATTACATATTAAAAGAGTACCACAATAAAAAATTCCACTATTTCTTACCTCTACAATAACACCATTGTTGAGAACAACTATAATATCAGCATTCTGTACTGTGCTCAACCTATGGGCAATAACTAAAACTGTTCGTCCCCTCGTGAGTTTTTCAAGGGCATTTTGCACAATTCTTTCAGACTCTGTGTCCAAAGCACTAAAACAAATTCAATAAAGCAATACACATTCAATCTTAAATAAATCCTTTGGTTACAGAGAATATGATGCACCACAAAAGTAATTAAATAATCCTTTCCAAAGTAATTTGAACAGCAGCATGGTTTCTCCCCTTAGTTTTCATATTTTTACAACACATTTTTAAGATTTATTGGTAAAATTCCAAAATATTATATTTTTGTTGATTTTAAAGAATTATCTGCTAATATTTTAACAAGTTTCTTAGTCTTTTCAGAGAAATTGTTTTTCAAACTAAGTAACACAAAAAACTATTTTAAGATTAGAGAGAAATAACAGAACACCTTCAACTAGAAATAACAAAACACCATCACGAAAAAACAGTTACATCAAGAAAGCCTGTCCAAATTACTTTAAAAACAATTACAAATATTATCAAAACATTAATGAACATTACAAAACACATTTTGTTATTTGGAGAAAATTTGTCTTTGGTTTTCCCAGAGAACTGGACTACATTGGGAAAAAGCATAAAACAAATGAAAGAACAGTTAAATATGGGTCTTCTTTGTTTTTGATGTGGGCCATAATACTCCACCATTAAAATGTGTCACACTCTATTCACCAAACCAGTTACCTTTGCATTTTGGCACGTAAGTTATTTGATTGATGACACATGCTCCTGCTCAGTCCAAGCAAACTTCTTCCACCAAACTAAAATATACTTTAGTTTTTGGATTGTATACACAACATCAAACGGTTGAAGAATTACTGATTCCAATGACATTACATGATATTCAAACATTTCTCACCTTGTTGCTTCATCCAAGATGAGTATTGAAGGATTTTTCAAAAGTGCTCGAGCAATAGCAATGCGCTGCCTCTGGCCACCGGAAACAGTTACCCCTCGTTCTCCTAACACAGTGTTGTAGCCTTCAGGAAATTTTGTGATAAATTCATGGGCATTTGCCAGCTTAGCAACTTCTATCACCTGAAACATATTCAAAACCAAATTATGTAATAGTTAACAATACATGTAAAACATCTACTTAGATTTTCAAGAATAAATCAGAGAATTTGCAAAATCAGGAAATAATGAAATATGGAAAAGGGTGTTTTTATAAATACATTTTTTTCAAAAATAAGTCGTGATACACACACCACAAGTACCGACATGATAAATATTAAAGGAATACTAAAAATAAAAAACATACAATAAAATTATATAATAATCACAATACCTCTGTATCTGTAGCATCAGGAAATCCAAAACGAATGTTCTCCATTATTGTAGTAGCAAATAATGTGGGTTCTTGGTTAATGAATCCTATGGCTCTTCCTCTCAGCCATGCAGGGTCCAAGTCTCTAATATCTAAACCATCAATTGTAATTGACCCACTATCTACATCATAAAACCTGCAAAACATGTCATTTGATCAGAATCAGTTTAATTCAAGTGCACATGACAATGTGTCATATGCCCTGCACCAAAAGATTTTGGTAATAAAAAGTAAAAAAATATATTTTTGTTTAAAATCTGTCAACTAGTAAGGGTATGCTAGTGATATTCAGCAATTAATCAATATTGTTCTGTTTTTAAACTAAGGAAGAGCCAGGTGTATTAATTACCCGGTTCAACACAATTTTTTTAACTTTTTTTAATGATTGGTTGGTTCAATTTGTTCGAAGGTGAAGGAAAATCATCACCATAGTCTCCCTGATTTACTTTTATAGCCAGTATTTTCATTTTATTTGATTTTAGTACTTTTTCTAGATTTTTTGCCTTAATTTTGCTCTAAATTATCAATAAATGTTTTGTTTGTCTACATATATTTGACAGAGATCCTTTATACTAAAGTAAGATCAGTGGAAATGTCACAGCATAAAAAACTCATTTCTGAACCCTATTTTTTTATTTTTTTAAAAATTAGGTTTTGTTAAAAAAGTCGAATTTTCCCCGCAAAAATAGGGATATGTTATTTTTTAAACGGAAAGGAAAAATGAATTATAATGAACTAAGCTGCCTTTTGGTACGATTCTCCGCAGCAATTAATGTGGGGGTGAGTTCGTTGTGTGGAGATGTCAGTAGTAGGGGCCAGGCAAAAACGTGGAATCGGATGATGGCCAAGCTTGATAATGTATTTTAGGACTGCACATATCTCGCATGCCTTTTCCGTTCCCGAGAGCACATCTGGCCGTCACAAGACACTGGAACGAATGCAGGGCAAGTGTCACTGAATGCGAGACATGCTTGAAATAGCACAGCGCATTTCAGTCTATGTCTCCTCCCTTTACGTCTCCCAGAATCTGTCCTCTCTGAAATGCTCTTTGAAATCTTGACTGGTTCTTTCCTAGCTCTTGCTAGGAAAGAGACGGAGCTTGCACATGTGCGCATGACAAATTGCCTTGAAATATAGATCTCCGGGGATACTGGTTCGTGTCAACATTTATTTGGCGTGGAAGGCATTGTCCTATTTGAAAAATGGGTGGGGGCAGCTGCTGGATGTGTGAGGGCAGTTTGATGGCACGATCCTGAAGAGGCTCTTTGGCCCGATGGTGACAAGGAGGCAGGGTAAGGCTCCTGAAGGTTTCCTTTAGGCAACACAAAGCATATCTTATTTAGGTTTGGTTGATTGCTTAGTGAATTCGAGCACGTCAACTTCTAATGACATTAGTCCCATAAGTGCAGTGCATGTGTTTTCCTCGTGAGGTAGCGGTGATATTTCCTCGCTAGATGGTGAGATTAAGCACAGACCTACAGTCAGCCAGCTGCATATTCGTCACCCAGGCACTCCCACCAGCTGGGCACCGCCCCAGTCAGGACAACAAGGTCTAAGCTCCCGCCAGGTATTCTGACAGGTCTCCCGACATGTGTTAGTGTAGTGCTCGTAAGTGTAAGGAATGAGGATAGGAAAGGAAGAGGAAAGAAAGATCACGCAGTCAACGGCCCGTTTGTTAGTGTACTGCTCTGGCATTCACCTGGTACTAACTTATTTGGAATGCGAGGGTTCTACAGAGAACGGAACTACACACCGCAACACTTTCACAATCAGTGATGCTTTGCAACTGATGCACATTACCAACAGAAAATTAGTGAATCAAAACCATACTTTCATGCTTACCTCTCCAATAATGCAGCAATTGTGGATTTCCCATTTCCAGATGTGCCCACCACAGCTACTGTGTGCCCTGATGGAAGCCTCAAGTTGAAATTTTTCAATACATTCTGCAAAATAAATGGTAATCAAATTACCTTTTTTTAAATTTACGATTCACTATCATTAAAACATACTACTAACTCTAACACCAACCTGTTGTGGCCTGGTTGGATAAGCAAAGCTAACATCTTTGAATTCTACATCAGCAATCAAGGAATGGTATGGGATTGTCTTTCCCCCAGAAATTGGGATGGTAGGCTGCATATTGATATACTGGAAAACACAAAACAAATAGCTACATATTAATGATTCGCATTTCATTTCACAAAACATTGGTTCTAGGCAGCACAAAAGCACTTTGAACATACTAATCATATAATTACCTCAAAAACTCTTGCTCCTGCAGACAAACCACGTATTACATGGCCAAATAATAATGAAAGTTGTGCCAATGAACGTTGGATTGTTTGTGTTGCAACCAGAAATGCCATTAGGTCACCAGCATTTATATTGCCAGATGCCATGAGATGGCTGCCTCCATACAAAGTGCCCAAAACAAGTCCATTCAGAAATAAGTTTGTGCCACCCTATAAAATGAAATGCAGCACAATAGTTCAATCACGTCTTTAGGACATAATTAACATGCAGACATCTACTATTAAGACTTGCTATCTAGAAAAAAAAGTCTTGGACGATTTAATCAATATAAACAAAAGTTTTTTCTCGTATATGATCCCATTATATTTTTTGTTGATTTCACTATAATGTAATTATAATTTTTCAAATATTTGTAATATCAATATTTCGAGAACCTATTCAGTTCTCATCATCATGCTGTAATTAATTCATTAAAATTATAAAACTAGGTATATTACGTACAATTACATATATATTTAAACAAAGCGCTAAATCAAAGTTTGCCTTCTTGCTTCATGTAATATTTTAGTTTTGATGCATATAATATTTTAGTTTGTTACCATAACATTGTCTTAGGACAACATATTAAGAACAGAAAGAAGTAAGGGGAATGGGGAGAAAATGGATGAAGAAAATTAATTGATTAATGTACAAGAATGACATTAACAACTGTAAACTAATTACTTTCAACAAATGATTTCATAGATTGATTTAATTTCATGTTTAAGGTTTCTGATACCAGGCAGGACTACTTTGTATTTTCATGGTCTAATATTTTTATAATTTTACAATTGATATTGTGAGTATAATTAATTCCCGTTTGCTTTCATGTTTTGTCAAAATTAGAAGTTCATTTGCAAGATTTATAATTACTATAAGTGCATTCTTAATATTATTACAAAAGAAATTCATTAAATTAAATAGATAGAGTAAATTAATAAAACAAACAGAATGAAACTTACAAATTTATGAAGTTCAGAGACTTTACACTGACAAAATATGCCAACAAGTTTAAAATTTGACATTGAAATTACCAAAATAAATTGACTGTCTCAATATATTCCTGAGGATGTCATTGATATTAGGAATTTGGGTACTCATTTCACTTTTCTATACACTAATAATGACAAAAGAAACGTCTCAATTGAAATGATAAAATAATATGAAAGAACTATAAGAATGAATATCAAAGAACTGTTTCATATTCATTATTGTTCACAAAAAGGTTTTCAAATCAGCAAAAGGTTTTTCATTGAGCCGAGACACTCAGGTCCATGGAGTTAATTCACCATAAGCTTTATCGCTACACAATGCAGTCAAAGGGATGTACTTTTGCTGACACTTAAAAAAGTACTTTTGCTGACACTTAAAAAAGTAATAGTCTCTCCTATTATTTCCAACATGCAATTTTCAGAAAATTCAGTGTTCAAGAAAAAGTAGACCTGCATCAATATTTTTAAAAATCCTTTGCTCTATCCATGAAAAAATTTATAGTCATTTATGAGTTGTTTTTTTTTATACATTGCATTAATTTCAAACAGAAATTACACGAAAACTGCAGTTTGTTCAAAACATTGTTTCTGACCATTTTTAACAATCTGACTTTTTGGAACAGATTTCATTGAAGACAAAAAACACTGTCTTCAAAATTGTACTTTTGTCAGCTTTTTACAATTTTCGAAAATTCAGAGCCAAAAATGGGACCAGCAAAATTTCTTTACATATGACTACTTTTTTTACTTATAAAGAACAAATTCAAAGAAAACATTTCGAGCAGTTTTTTGAGAAACTATGGTTTAAAAATTGCCTATATTTCACACAAAATTAGACGTAAACTATTTTATAATAATTGTCCATGGTCTTATTACAAGATGTTTTCTACATGTTTCATGAAAGGAGAAAAATCTTTATCTAGGGTTACCAGAGACCTAGTTGAAAAAATCAGGATCATTGGGTTAAAAAATCAGGACTTTTTTTATAATAACATACAAGTACAGTTTTTGTACTACTGCAAAAGAGTGGTCAACAATAAACAGTGATTAGATGACACAGACTAAAAAATCAGGACAGTCAGGACAAAGTCCAAAAATCAGGACATTTCCTGATAAATCAGGACATCTGGTAACCCTATCTTTATCTTCAATAATGTAGTTTAAGAAGTCTCTGAAATACTTGAAGCACATTGCGTCGTGCGCTGCACACACCGTCACTGCACTTTCCCACTTAATAACTAGCCATAACAGAAAAACTCCTGAAACGGTGGGATATTATACAGTTTTATGATATATTACATGAAGACTAGAAGATTCAAATACAGTGAAAATCATTATTGAGCAGCTAGGCCAATACAACTTTTCATTTCATGACATTACAGTGATATTTGAAAAGGTACAAAAAGTGATCGACTTGCATTGCTAGAAGAATATAAGAGTGGAAGCCTCACAATCATTTGATTATTTTGTATCATCTTCCTTAACAATTTCACACTTTCTCATTCTAAAAGAAAGTCCATTTTATTATCATCCTTTAATAGCTCAAACATCAAAGAGAGGGATTCTCTGTATGTTTCTGACTGTAAATTCATTACATGAACCCACTTTCTATTATATCTGAAATTAAACAAATACATAAAACATATGATTGTTGTTGGAAATCACTACAAACTGGCAAAAATGAACTTGTTTTAGAGTTGGGCAAAATGTAAATTTCACAATCTTTTAGGTACATTCCTAGAGTAGAAATAGCATTGCCCTCTCTTCATCCAATAATGAGTACATTGTTGCTTCTTCAAAGGCTTCTATCAATGGATGTGGGACTTGTGGAAGTGTCGTTGCAACATTTAAAATTCACAATTGTGCGAAACTTAATGAAATAGTCTCAAATACAATCAGGGCAAGCCAAAAGAAGATACAAACAAAAATATACAATCTCTTTTTGATCTTGGAATACTAAGTATTATGTATCCAATAATGCCTATTTTATAATGTTTATTGTGTGTACCTAAATACATTACATTCATAGTTTTGAAGAAAAATATAATTTCCCCTTATTTACACTTCCTGCAATTTACACCATTTTCCCTATTATATATTATGGCACAAACAAAATGACCATAAAAATAACAATAAACAAATAATTGTCTTCAGATAGTGCAATTTTGAACTAGTCAGGAATCTTCTTTGCCTGTTCCTTTCTTGCCTTTCCACCAATCTGTCATGCATATTCTTATTTATTAATAATTTCTGAACTATGGACTCCAAAAATAACTACTTGAACAAGAATTCAAATTCCTTGCTGTATATTATTATCCAGTTTCTTTAAAGAGTTCCATTTAACAATAGAATAGGCAGTGCTGAAGCACTGAATTGTACCTGAAACATTCCAATTCCAATACCCAAGAGCTGATTAAAATCTGCAGCTGTATTAGTTTCATAGGCAAAGAGTTCACACTCCTTATCTTCTGCAGCAAAAGCACGAACAGTTCTGATGTTATTAATTGCTTCATCACCCACAGCAGTAGCCTTGCTGACCTTCACAAATAAAAACACAAACTTAACATTTTCGAATAGCATATACTCTTATGCACTATAAGAAACTTTTAGTAGTTTATTTCTTAAGCATGTCTAATTAACAGCACTTCTCCAGCAGATGATATTTAACACTATAATGGAAATAACTAAAACGATATATTAAATTAATGATAACTACATCCTAGATTATGTAAGTCATAGTAAATATGTCTGAATCAAACAATATAATGTACAATAAGCATGGATTAAGACATAAGCAAGCTAAGCATGTGTTTATAGATCCCCATAATCAGCAGAGGCCCCGAGTTGCTTTTTAAACTTTTCTTCTTTTAATTCAAAAATATGAAAATAGCAAATGTTATAAATTATTTTTACATTCAAACTAATTACTTTGATTCAACTTTTTAATATTATTAGGGGGCCCTCTTTGGACAATATTAATCTGCCCAAACATTAACAATCTTTAAAATATGCAGTTCTGAAATGTGATATTATTTATGTATTACACAATTAAAAATGAACAAAAAATACACTGAAGAGCCAAAAATACTGGTCCAGCCATGTCTACTGAAATTGAGAGATCTGGAATGAAGCAAAATATGGCACTCCGGTCGGCAACGACTTTATAAGACATCCAGTCTGGCACAGTTCTGGTTCGGTTCCTGTTGCTACAATGGCAGGTTATTACGATTTAAGTGAGTTTGAACGTGTTCTTCCAGACGCCGCAAGAGAGATGGGGCATCATCTCCGAGGTTGCGATTAAATTTGGATTTTCCCGTACGACAATTTCACGAGTGTACCGTGAATATCGTGAATCCGGTAAATCAATCTTCCAGCACCGCTGCGGCCGCAAAAAGATCGTGCAAGAACGGGACCGAGGACGACGACTGAGGAGAATCATTACACGTGACAGACGCAACACTTGCGCATACTGCTACCGATTTCAATTCTGGCCCATCAACAAGTGTCAGAGCGCGAACCATTGAACAATACATCTATAAAAGGTTTCGGAGCCGAAGGCCCACTCTTGAACTCTTGATGACTGCACGACACCAGGCGAGCTTTACGCCTCGCCTGGGCCCGTTGGACACGGACATTGGACTGTTAATGACTGAAAACATGTTGCCCAGTCTGACGAGTCTCGTTTCACATTCTTTCGAGCGGATCGCCGTGTACGAGTATAGCGACAACCTTATGAATCAATGGCTCTTGCATGTCAACAGGGGACTGCACAAACTGGTGGACGATCTGTGATTGTATGAGACGAGTGCAGATGGAGTGATATGGGAACTCAGATAGTCTAGATACGACTCTGACCTGTGACACGTACGTAAGCATCCTGTCTGATCACCTCCACCCATTCATGTCCATTGTGCATCCCGACGGAATTGGGGAATCCCGGCGACATCCATAATTGCTATATACAGGAACACTCTTCTGAAAATAATGACTTCCACAGGCCACCAAAATCCCCCGACATGAACATTATTGGGCATATCTGGGATGCCTTGCAGAAAAGATCACCCTCACCGTACTCCTACGAGTTTAGAGACAGCCCTGACGAATTCATGGTGTCAATCACCTCCAGCACTACTTGAGACATTTGTTGAGTGCCATGCCACGTCGTGTTGCGGCACCTCTGCGTGCTCGCGGAGGCCTTACACGATATTACGCAGGTGTACCCGTTTTTTGGCTCTTCAGTGTAATAGAAGAACAAATGTTTTGAAAACATTTATCTTTCAAAAAATATCGGTTTGCACAAAAATTGAATTAATTTAAGTAACTGTACATTATTATATGCAATCCCATGAGATAATCGAGTCCAAATAATTTATGGAATGCCATGTCAGAGGCGAATAAATGAATACACAAATCTCGCTTCAAACAGGGGGGATCCAAAGACGAATTTTATTGGAGGTGGTGGGATTTTTGTCTTATGTCTTCTATTTTATAAAATAATAGAAATTCAAAGTTAATATACATTATAAACTTAGTAAATTATTCACCATAAAATGCTTTTAACAAAATTAATATATTAATGTTTAACATTTATATAATTATAAGTTTAACATTTAATGAATACTTTATCATTTTAAATTATAAAAACACTAATGATTTGTTATTAAAATCGTATTCAAAGCTGCAAAACAACAAAAGATTAGGGAATTCTGTTTTTCATTCTATGATACAGATGTGAACAGACAGAATTTAAATAAAAAACCATGATATTATCGATTTACAAATTAAATATCCGCTTACATACTGTCCAGTACTGAAGAAAGTCGACAGGATTTCATAAAGTATGAGTCAAGCCTCTTCTACTTTTTCTTTTTATTAGATTTTTTTCTCTTTTCTTCTTCTTTTTTTAGACATTTTCTTTCTCTTCTGAAGTACTTATTACTGCACTACCTCCAGGCACATGTAAGCAATCCATGCCCTGTTCTTTTGTTTCGGGCACACTGTAATTACACGAGATGTCAGTGGCCCACAATCACTCACTTGACACCTAGAGAGAGACCTTGCTCTGTCAACACTGTTTCCAGTTGCATCGGCCACACTCCAATATGTGGAAATCACTGTAGCACCGCGGAGTAAGAAAGAGATATGAACTGTCGGAAGCCTCTGGAGAACGGTTGAAGACATTTTCAATGGGGTTACAATTCATCGAGAACCAGGATTCCCATTTGTAACAAAAATTTTAGGGGGTGAAATTTACCTTGTTCCCCCCACCCCCGCGGATCCGGGCCTGTTTCAAATTATAGTCTGTTAAAGAAGAGGAGCCAGAAGGCAACACACAGTGGTCAAGTTTCTCTTAATAACTGATAAATTGATATCTGTAATCAGTGGTAAAAGCCTGGTAATAAAATATAGTTGAAGTTCAAATCTCCACTTGTTTCACTGTTGGAAAATTAAAACTTTTTTGCACTGTAAAAGCTGCCCCCATGAATTACAAAACACTACTTTTGCATTGGTTAAAATAAATGTACTTGTTACTTGCATTAAATGGTATGATCCATTTTGATTGAATTAATTATTCTCTATACCTGCTAGAAACTACCGACCCTAAATAAAGTAATCTCTGAATTTAAGATCAACAACATCAGTTTGTTTTTTTTAAATTATGAAAATAAACTAAGAACAATGTTTCATAATTTCAAGGATCACACATTTTTTTAAAACAAATATCATATTTTTATTTAATCCCCAACACATTTAAAGTTTTCTACACATGATAAGTTCCAAAATTGTTAAGAATCATTACTAATTTTTCTTTAATGTTTGTGAACATTTGTGTAATATGCAGACATCTCAAAATATCCAAGACAAGAAGTAGAAAAGCTCTAAATGGGTTTGTTTGTAAAGAATTTTCTTTCTTTACCATGTAGAAATGACCACCAAAACTACACAATAGCATAAATTCAGACTTTAATGATAATGCATTTCCTACATTTCAAAACAATAGGTGATCAACAGCACATACTTTCTTAAATTAATTGTTATGGTTACCAGTGGCCAGTTGAGCACCAGGATAACATTGGGAACTAAATTTTGCAACATTCAATAAAAAAAAAAATTAATTATTAAATAATAACTTTCTCACACAATATTGCATTTCCAGGGCCCTTTCGCAATTGAAGTAAAGATTTCTTGTGTCAAGTGATGTTGAAGATATCTTCACATACACCAATCTGCCAATGAAATGTCTTGCTATTTCCATACTTTGAAACATTACTGAAGATTTTTCTGATAATTCCCTTACCTAAAGCATTCCGAGAAAGATAATTTTCAGATTTAAGTGAGCAAAAAATTATTTGAGGAATACAATGGGAGAACAAAGACTCAATAACTTGGCCATTTTGGGTATAGAGCAGAAAATTTTACATCACATTGATATTGGCAAAATAATTGATGATTTTGCAAGAAATAAAGATGATATTCATGTAAAATGTTTATACATTAATTCATTTATGAGGAACGATATTTTTCAGTACTTTTTTTTATTAATATATTTATGAGAGTTTTCTTGCAATATCTATTTCTAACTTGAATTTGAAAGCTCCAAATTTTTATCACTTGTGGCCTCTGCTCAACTTGATTATCTTTGGCAGTCATGTTTGTTTTCTGTAACTCAGGAGCGAAAACATTAGTTTTCAAATGTTACTAACCTTGCTTGTGAGAACTTTTTTCATCATTCAATTATTTGTGGTTAAAAGGATTCTGGAGCTCAAGAAAATGTGCACAGATGGAATTTATTATGAAGGAGGATTTCTGTATAAATTGTCAGTGAGTGTATTACGTATTTCAATTTTTCTACAGTGGCTGATAACATTAAGTCTTTGTTACACCTCCTGCCTTGTAAAATGAATCGTTTTAATTAATTCGTGAACATCCTTCTCAATGGGGCTCATGGTCTCACAAATGTTAAAATTATCACTGTGAAAAAGATTCATTTTATAACGTATGAGGCATAACTATTAACTAATGTCATTAGTCACTGTAGAAAAAAATCAAGGAAAAAGTTTGGCGTGATTTTCCACTTCTATAAAATTAACGAAAATTAAATTTAGTATAGCTTTATGGAAACTGCCTATAATGTATTGAATTGAATTAATGCCTTATTTTAGGTGGCGAGACTCGGGCCATCAGGCCCACTCTTCCATCTGACCACACAAATTTCGCTACGCTCCTTTCACCAACAAGCAGAGGAAGGAGGTATTTCTCGGAAGAGAAACAGGCGATTTTTGAATTTAGTTCAGAGGCATCATTTAGGCTTGAGGATCTTTTACATGCAAGTAAGTCTACTAACATGGGACAGCCGGCTTTACTTCTCCTCCGAAGGATTTTTTTGACCTTAAAAATCCACGGTTTTGATCGGGTTTCAACCCGCCAACTCGGGTATACCAGTCCGATACGCCAACCGTTACACCATCGCCTCACACAGTGTAGTATTCAGTTCTAAATTATCTCTCTTAATTACTGGAATCTCATTACACAGTCACTTAAAATTATGAAGGTGTTCATCATATTTTTAAAATACTAATTGTACTAATTGGATTATTCTGTATGTTATTCTGTCTGTTATTCCTCATTTCTCTTTTAAAAAATCTACACATTTTTAAAAGTCTTGGGAAATATTCTATCATAAGACCAAATAGTCTACTGACAGAAATAAAAAAGACAAACTACTGATACATTTCAAATGTTTCAACATGAACATCAAGCACAAACAGTCTCTTAATCTAAATGTAACAAAGTTGGGCCCTCAGTTCCAGAAACAATTTACAATTAGTTCAAATTTACTTTATGACTCTACAAAGCAAATTTTGTCATCTGGTCCAATACTGTTACTGAATTTGCCCATTTACAATTTGTATCTTGCCGGTAATGAGAATATCCTTATCCAACTACCGAATTCTTTACTTCAGATAATAAAATTAATTTTACCTCTTTCACTCTATTAACAATTTTTAAAAAAACTTTTCCTGTTTCCACGTTTATCACATTCACAAAGACATACCTGAGCTTGGGCTGCACGAGATAAACGTCTCAAAAATGAACCGACAACAGTGCCAACTACAATAACACTGGGGAGGACAAGTAACATTCCTCCAGCCATTTGAGGAGATATGACAAAAAGAGATATCACACAACCTGCCATCTGTAACAAATGAAAATATCTTGGGATGCATAAAATTTTCTTTTTAGTATTAAACATATATACCTTAGTTTCTAAAATCAAAATGAATACCTGAGTAAAACTACGAAGACCATGCGATATGCAGAGTTTAAACGAACTTTTGAATTCTTGCACATCAACAGTTATGCTAGAAAATTGGAAAAGATGCAAGTTCAGGCGACAGAAAATTTTGAAATTATTTTACAAGGAAAGTCTTTATTATCCACAACAGGAAGGAAAATGACAGTAATGTTTAAAACATACTTTGTAAAATAAAGTTTCTTAACAAAGAATATTGCATTGTGTGTGAAGCAGAAAAGCTTTGCCAAAATCAATGCATAACATAACAATGAACTTTGACATACACTAAGTAGGAAGAAACCCAAGGCTTTTTAAAAGAACCTGGCCCAGTGGATATTTTTAGGGTTTATTTGGGTATTTTGGGTGAATATTATTTTTTTATTTAGTTCACACAAATTTTATTTTTGTCATTTGAAGGGAACTACATTTTCAATTGGAACATCATTTGAATTGAAACACATTCTGTACATACGGAGCCAATGGTGTGTCCAAAGATTAACCCTTCCCTACCGAAAAATTGACCTCAAAAGCACCTAACTACCTCTCTCTCCACCACAATGGATTTCCCCTCACCAGAGCATCGTGAAGTACTGGATTAAAAGACTTCAATAAGTTGTGACAAGTTTTCTCTTCCTGCCTAAGATAATTTTGTACTTTTGTTATCACTAGGCTTACTAGTAAATGAAGTTGGTACTTCATTGTCTGTTTATTTTACTTCGTACTTGTTTGCATGTGTTTGTTGCAATTACATTTCAGTTGTTAATTATTATTTTAATACACAAAATTTTAAGATGTTATTTTATTTGAATTAATTTTAAAAATCAATAAAACATTTACATTGGTGTTTATACGGTGTTCAAGAGATATTTTTATGGGCTTTAAAAGAAACTACTTGATTAATTGGAGGCTGGGGGCAATGAAACCTATGTAAACAATGTCCATACTATGCAAATCTAATCCACATTTTGTACAAACTTGACAATTTCTTCTGCACTGGTGTTTCAATGTTTAATGCAAATCCCTATTTACACCATAACTGTCAACTTTCATGTTGAATCAAGTCCTCAGTTAAATTTAATGAAATGATTTTCATTCTGTTTTAATACATATCACCATTTTAATGCTAGGTAGTGAAATTGCATTAGTACAGCCCATCCAGACCTTCAAATGCTTGTCACATCTGCCCAGAATCACATACATACATACATACATACATACACACACACAAACATGTGGCAGGGTTAATTAGTATAATAATGAGCATAAACTTGGAATTAAAGTAGAATGAAGGGCAGGGAAAATAAGAATACATTGAGAAAAACTCCTGTAACTATATTTTGTTCACAGATTCTACAAAAACTGGTTTGAAACTGAACCCTGGTCCTCAGCCATGAAAAATAAAAATGTTTGTCATTACACTACAGGTTGTCCATTTTCTCTAATGAAATTAATAATATACTCTGAAAAATTAATAAGAAATTCAGAGGAGACAGGAACATTAAGAAGTCAATGATAAGGTGGGATGATTAATTTATCTGAGGATGAAAATTTTTTGAACTTCCTTTGCAAATAAATACCATTATATTCATGACAATGATACTCCAAACTCACCGATTCATTATGTCCCCAGTTCTGTTAGAATCAAAGAATGATATATCCTGTTTCATTATACTTGAAAATAACTCTTGTTTCATTGAAGCAGCTATACGTTCACCAACACACGAAAGAAGAGATATGTACAGGAATGTAAAAGCAGCCTTGAAGTAAAACAGTTCAAATTTAATTTGCATTAATCACAAACAATTGTAAAACAATAAAGACAGGAAACAAATAAACTACTGAATTTACTTACCTGGGCTACATACATGCCTATAAGATTTTTAATTGGTTTTGCCATTTCCTTGGTTATAACTAAACCACTCCCAGTTTTTAACAGTTCTGATAAAATATTAATTATCTCTCCAAGTACTAAAGGTATTTTGATATTAAGAAATGCAACTGCTAAGGCACCCTGTAAACAATACCACAGATGAGAACTCATAACATTTTCAAAATGATACCATTTGCACATCAAGACACTTACTGCTATAGCAGAAGCAAGATGCCAAGCATGAGGCCACAACATTTCAAAAAACTTTTTCCAATCAAACTTTGCTTCTAGTACTTGAACATTGGTTCCTAATGTTTTCATAGGTTGTTGTTGAATACATAATACAGGGATTGTACTAAGCAACTTAACTCCAGTTGCTGATGCAACAAAAGCACCTAATTTTAAAGAAATGGGTAATTTTTTACTGGTATTTGAAGTTGAAGTACTTTTATTTGGACGCCAAGGTTGTTGAAGAAAATTTCCTCGATTTCCACCAGGAGTGCATTTAAAATTGTTTCGCAAATGGTAATGGCACTGAGTTCCCAGCCTGAAAAATTTGTAATGTAAACAATAGAGAGCCTTTTTCATAAAAGCAGCACACCAAGTTGAAAATAATGAACTTCATCAAAGAAAAATTAGTCTTGAGGGTATGGACCAAATCAATCATCACACACAGAAGGTCTCTTTGTCTCGTAATACAATGAAAAACCACACGAGATCAATTAAATGGCAAATCAAGAAGAAAAACATACCTAAAATAGCTGGAAGCCGGGGAATTGTGGCCTACAATTCTAACAATCATTTTCAAAATGATTGTGTGAACAGAAAACAAAATTGAAATACGTCCTTATCCGGTCTCATTAGTTACATTACGCAATTAATAACACTTGACAACATTTTGAAAAAATTCGCACATAACCTATACAGTACTTATTCCACATAGCATTCACACGATTCACACACCGCACCACTCCGCACCCAGTCACAAATTTGACAAATATACTTCATCGATTAATCGTTGATATCGATACAATCGCACAGCTTCTCTTCGGTTGAACTGGATGGTCCCTAGGGAGCACTCAAAACGAATCATTACAGTGAATCGTTACATCCTTGGTCTCTGCCACACCGCCGTATCAGCTCGGTGTAAGAAATAATTCTTCCATCGTGACCTCAGTGACAGACAGGGCCCGGCAACTCTCCATCAAAATCGGGGACAAAGCTCGAGGTTGCTACTATAGGAAGCGCTAGTGTCGCCGGGTGCAGCTGCAGGTTAGGCTCGCCAACTTTCCCACATACAAATTGGCTAATTTGTGACAAATACGAAAAGTGTCTTCTAGATGTACAATTATTCATAATCTCAACTTGTAAGAAACTTCTGAAGAAATCACGAACGTATACGTTATCTTTTGTAACATTATGGTCCTGCTTGCGACCCGCGAACTCAGGCAGCAGTCAGGCACGTTGAAAGTTTTGTTGGCAGCAGTTCCTGTTTTAGTTCCTGTAAAGGTGATGCTCTAGAGCGCGCCACCGTAATGGTCCCCACCACGTTATATGGGAGTTATAGGGCCCTGGTGACAGACACGATCATGGTGTAAGAGAACTTCTTCGACCGTGTTATAGACAACACCTCACACCGTGGGCACGGTCAGACAATCCCAGTCTAATTATTAGAATGTGGTACACAGATCACTGAACTGTTGTAAGATGTAGTAGTTACCGGTATAAACGATGGAAATGCATGTAGCGCTAACGTGGTTGAAGTTCATAAATTATATCTTCGATAAAATTTGAGTCAGTTATATTAACTAGTAGATTCCTAAAGTGATTTTTTTTAATTCGTTGCGTCTTTGCAACAATTCTCTTAGCTCTTCTTGGGCGTCAAGCGTGTTTGGTGCAATAATCCTCCTTGAAGTTTTGTATCTTTTTTTCTCGTCATGTCGCAATTAGTGCATTTTATCTCTTCGAGCCTCTGCGCCGTTAGTAACTGGGGTTCCCTGTCGGTCACCCGTCCAGGGATCTATGGTCTATCGACTTGCTTAACTTCTGTGAATTGATGGCGCTTCTGTGAATTTGGCAAACAACACCGGCTTTAAATGACACTTGTTTTCATTGTTATGGAACACACGCAAACTTAAATACCATTAGACATAGTTTTGAATTTAGAAATTACTGCACTCGATCCACGTTGGCTCTGAAATGATTCTGTGTCTTATTTCCATATCCCATATCCCGAAATCGATGAACGAAAGCGAAGTAGCGGGAACAATGACATTGTTTCGAGAATGGCGCGTTTTGACATTATATGTACCGCTCCTCGAAGAGCACTTTAAAAACTTAGCTGCAAACGTCTTTTCAAAATTAATCGCGCCAAATAATTACATAACAAATTTAACTTTGCCGGATCCCACGGCCACGTACAAGCGCCCGAGAGATATGCTGCAGTAGGCATAACGGCAATACTTGCATGAAAATTGCGATACCCAACACCAAAATCGCACTGAACAGCTATTGTCTTTCATGACCTTGTTTATTTTCAATGTTATAGATCAGCCATACATGTCCGAAACGATAGGGATGGCGACAGAGCAAGGAAGTGTGGTGGCATTGCACCTCGCGGCCACGCGGAACTGCGCTGCAAAGCAAGGAGCGTTTTAATTGATTAAAAAGTATTTTGGTGTAAAATGGGTTAGAAATTCTGCGAGGAACAGGCTCAATGCGTACGCCGAAATTCGGAGCCTCACCTTCCACACACTTAGCGAAGCGTCAAGTGTGACTTATACTAGGGTTTTTATAACTTGGTGGATGAGTGCCTGTCTCCACGATGGAATATCTCATGGCGCGTCTTTCTCGGTCGCCTCGCTAGATGTCGCATGACCGCAAGAACTGCTCAATACAGTCACGAACATGCGACATCTAGTGGCACGACCAAAAAAGACACGAAATGCCGTGAGATATTCCATCGCAAAGACAGGTACTCATCCGCCAAGTTATAAAAATCCAAGTATAGAAGTGTTCGACAAGAACGTACTTTGAGATAAAATGCGTTAGGCAGATTCAAAAATGTGTTATGTTTATAGCGTATGTAAAATGTCATGAATTTGAACACGCGTAGCAAAGCGTCAAATCGCATTAAAAGTAGTAGTTATAAATTCCACTTACCGTTTGCGAGTTTATCGTTTCGTTTCTAAGTTTTCACGGAAATAGAGCGATTCTTTCTCGTTGGTTACGATAAGGGGAAAACTGTTCCTTATGTAAGATCCGTCAAATGACAAAGGTAGATACAATGAAAACATTTGTTATATTTTAACAGAAATTAGTCAATATTTTACAGTGTATGAAAGTTACAAATTAGTCATGAACTTGGTTCATTGTTATCTTATTCTGCTATTTCTCATGGAAGTGTGTGACAGTCTGTCCTTAGGATCTTCAAATGGGCATGAGTGTTAGCGGGAACGAATTAAAAGAGAAAGCGAATTCTTTTTCTTCGCCTCGGTAATCACTCTTTAAGTTTTGTACAGTGGGTCCTCCTTCTCAACAAAATTAGAATTTTCGTTTACATAGTAACTTATGAGAACCGAATATTTCCATTTAATGTATTTTAAACTGCAGTGTTTGGACTGCAGTGTTTGAACTGAACTGCAACCTTAGGGTTTCAACCATCCATAACCACTTGACAGAAAGACCTTCACCGGTACGTAATTTGTTTTCTGAGTCACTGATTTATTCATAGACCATAGTCCACAGTTATCAACACATCCATTATCAACTAACATACGTGCGCGAGTATGCAAAAACAACGTACTTCGATTTTGGGCTAATTCACTTCAGTGCAGACATTACACGGGATGTTTCAGGGCTACAGTAACCGGAAGCCATGTTATCAAACTCTGATGGCAGGGACTTACTAGTGGCTGAGTTAGCTCATGGTAACAACTGTTCTCTCTGCATCTACTCCGAACAGGAAATATTAGGTTGGAGTCCCGAACGTGGCGCAATTTGAGTCACTAGCTAAATTGCTAGGTCGCATTCAGCCACTGTCTGAAGAAGAATTCCAGAGGCCGACTGCTCTAATCGAAATGTTTCTGCCGTTTTTCCCATGTGTACCAGGCGAATGACGGAGCAGTAACCTAACAAGCGGGTCACGGACCGTGCGCCTTCTTTTGTTACTCATCCTCCTTCAAATTTTTCCCAGACACATACACACACACGTACATTTACAGAATTGTAATGTAACCACCCACGCGGGACAATTTATCTCGTGCGCAAATAAAATATTTCTTCAGCATTGAAAACCGCGCGCTCTAAACGCTTGCTAGGGAGTCCCGAGCCTTCGGGATTTACGGTCTGCCATGGGCATTTTCAACGTCAGTGTAATGCTCCTAGTACTACAAAGGTGCTAGGAATTGTACAATTTGGACACTGGGGAGGTGTTTTATGACCTAACGGCACACCCTAGCGAGACCATAGGCCACGACACCGCGCTTATGAGCCACGCGTCGCGTCACCTGGACGCCACACGCGAAACAGCTAAAACGTAATTTTTTACGAAACAGGCTTTGATTGTTGGAATGAAAACCCCACTGCAACCCCAGACCTATGAGGCCGAACGTGGCTCACGCCTCATGTGCCCTCGGGGACCTGCTACCTTTTCACAGAGAAAACGAAAAAACACTTCATACTGATGACTACGGGAGCGCAGTAACGCGAGCTGTGCCCGTTCCTCCACGAGTCAGTTCCGTCGTGAGCTCGCCCTACCACCAAGTCTGTGGGAATAGTCGGGCCTCCGTTGCTACCGTGCGGCTTGTAACATGCCGGAACAAGAGACGAGCGAGTCAAATGAATTGGGAGCGAGAGCGCACCACAAGTGTATTCGTCTAGGAATCCAAAAATACTAATTATTTAAACATTTGCGTTTGATTATGATAAGAGTGGCTAAGTAGAAAGAGAAAGAAGGGGCAGAGACAAAGAGAGAACATTCCTAAAGAGGGGAGAGAGAGAAGGAACACGGGATGGGGGAAGTCAGCTATTGTAATCAACGGGTATCGTCTCCATCCTGCTGTCATTGTTGCTGCTCTTGTCAATGCTCCCATTTTCCTTCGGTTAGGCTCGCGACGTGACTCCGAAGGTAGCTTGCTCGTGCCGTATACTGATGTGTTCTCACGGCTTGCCAGAACAGTCCGGTCGGCTTTCGGCGTTCGCTTATATAATTTTGGGGATGCATTGTGCGAAGGAAACCGCGGTAATCCTGCTGGCTGGAGGGACAAGTTGAAAGGGTGACGGTTAAATAGAAAAGCGAAGGGGGAAAGGAAAGGGCTCGTCGTGAAGGGATTTTGTAACCTTTGAATTTCTGGCTGGTGGTGAAGAACGTACGAAACAAGCGTTTGCGTATAACGGCTCGGCACAATATCCCAGGAGTAGAGAGTAGGTCGATTCTAGACCGAAAGTACGTCGTCAATGACGTCACTCTGACTGCATATTCTCTGACGACAGAGCGTTGCAGTGACGCCAATACCATTGGAACGATAATGTAAGGGTGATGTCACGACAGTTTTGCTTTAAAGGTGAGTCGCAGAGGCGGAACAATGGTAATCCATACTGTTCAACAGTGGCGAGCGGTTTGACTGAGCGGCCTGCTGATAACAGTACGTATAAGCATTATGATAATGAACTGTGGAGATGTTAGGGTTGTGTGGGTACTCACCACGTGTGGGAAAAAGAGGGGGTGAGTGGGGGGGGGAGATGTAAATCGCGTGAAGGTGGGAGTGAGATGTGCAGGCGTCCCACACAGCTCGCAGATTACGGGAAGCGTCTGTCACTCCGCTGTCGCAGCTTGTCCACGAAACTGGCCCTTGTTTGGACTCTGGCAGCAGGAGTGTGCTTGCAGCACACATGGTCTCTCTTCACCAGCGACCGACAGTATGAATACGACCTGCCCGTATCGCAATGTCGTTTCCTAAGAAGGTAGATTCACTGCGACAACATACGGCGTCAACACGTACCGTGGCTGCTCGTCGAAGACAAGACAGCGCAAATAACTATCGACCTACTCAGGGCAGCGTGGTCACGTGCGCGAAGCGCATTCAGGTGTGATGCTAACATGTGCGCGGAGAATGTTCCACAAGAAGACGCGGGGCTGGCGGGGTTGCCTTTGTTCCTCTCTGCCCTCCAGGCTGGTCCAGGAACATGTGTGGAAGTGCCTTTTTGGGGTGGGCACTACAGA